GACACAAAGTATTAATTTAGCATTACTCAACTATGAAATAGATTTATAGAATAGGTCTAACCCGATCCAATTGAACCAGACTCAAATACCCACCAACTTGACAACTTTATGTAAAATACATGTCAAATAAGGGGATTTACATAATTGCTTATCACAATTCTTGCAAAGTATATGCCCTAAATAGCAAGTGTAACCTTAAATAAAAAAAAAAATGGAGAGAGTAACTTTTTTGGCTTAATTTTCAAAACCAGTTTTTGGATAGAGTAGATCGCTCTTGGTTGGGCTCTAGGCAATTATGAATTGGGCCTAAATTTTAGTTCGAATTTTTTTTTTTTGGTTTTTCTAAACCTATAAACAAACCAAATTGCAAACTGCATTTTTTTATTTTTCAAAACCAAACCGCATCTAAAAAAAAAAAAAAAAACTTCGTATTTCTTATTCAGTTCGGTTTTAAACTGAATTACTTTCACCCCTAGTCTTGTCCACTTTATAAGGCTAGAGGGTTAATCCTTTCTTTGTAAAATAATCACTCATTTTGTAATAATTGCAATAGGCATTGTACAAACTGAAGACCAAAGAAGATAATTATTACATTGGTAACTTTCAACATTGCCTTATGTTTTTTGAGTTAAAACCTTCTTGGACTTGTAAGTGGATTTTTGTAGCAGATGATGGGAGCAACTTTCATCATTTTCATATTGAGGTTAAAACCTTCTTGGACTTGTAAGTGGATTTTTGTAGCAGATGTTGTGTAACACCCCAATAATTCTCTCTTAAAAACCTGTGAGAAACCTGTATATAACCTGAACAATTTCAAGAGAATTACTGGCGTGCTACCGCCACGTGTTCAAACGTTAAGGCTATCTCAGAAATTAGCAGCGGAAAACTAAAACAGTTATGAATAAACTTCAAGGTAAAAGGATTAAATCAAAATAAGTGTTACAAGTTGGAACCATTAAGGCCCTTATTCAAAACCCAATAAAAGTAGTAAGTGATCAAATCCAGTGTTCGAATAAATTCAAACCCAAAAGAATTAGTGTCAAATAAAATCAAATTAAAATAAATTCAAACTTGCAAAAGAAATAAAATGCAAACAACCAACTCTCTACTCAAGATCCCACAACCCTGATGAATGCTGCTTGTGTAAGAACCTGTGGTTATTCTGCTCCCCAATATTACAAGTGTAAAAATTGGATCGTCACAGGGTCATTGAAAGGCGAAGGCCATGACCAAAGAAAGACACGCACAAAAGCACGCAGTCAGCAAAGCTGAGTACATACAAGCTGCGAAATAAATTAAGAAAATACCTAACATGCTACTAATAATCAAGCACAAGCATCATTAAGTACAGACTCAACTCATGACTCAATTATCAAATTTATTAAGACCTCACTAATTGATATTAACTGACTCACTTATTTATTTCATTGGATTTAGCAATAGACAAGGTTGTCCAACCCATGTCCCATTTGGAACATCAATAAAAGAAAAACCTCATGCCTCCTTCCGGAAACATCAATAAACATCCAACGACCACGAGCGCGACTCCGTGACCGTAGTTAGTATGAGATCTCACCTAACTCCTAGTTTTAGAAAAATAATATTTGAAATAGGAGACTCGTAGATCAAACGGCCTCGATAAAAGTACACGACTAATACCCCATGAACCCGAACCCCTGATTGTCATTACTCCAGATGTGCACCATTCCAGAGTTTTATTGCTCATCCATCTTGCACTTTACGTGATTTACAGGTTTAGTCTTGGTGACGACTCATATACATTACAATACAAACATTCCAAACACAATTCAATCAAACATGGCAAATTCTCAATTTAAATTCTTGATTTATTAGTGACAAACAACATTTATTAATTATTCCTTTACTACCTCGGTGTATAAACACCTTGAGTGCATAAGGCACCCCAAAACCTTAACCTTGTCTTACAAGATTTGAATTTCTCCTTTACTCATCCTGTTTGCATAATCATGAATGAGTAATAATTTAATATTTACACCAATCACATATCTTTGCCTTTAAGCGCACCTTGCATAATTAGAGCACAAATAATACTTGCATTATAAACTAGTGCACATCATTTGAAATTCACAATGTATAACCAGACAATTTAACCCAGTCAATCCTATACATGATACTAAGTTCTCGATCCGTCCTTAAACATGCACCTACAAGCAAGGTTTCATAACTTGTACGTACCTTGTGTAAACAATCCGGTTTGCCACTTTAAAACTAGAAGTCGCCTTCTACAAAGTCCTCTCCTAAACCAAACAATTAGAAATAAATCAATACCAAAGCAAATAAATTTACAGCAATACTAAACTACTTTAAAACCTCTTAAATCATCAAAATAAAGCCTTTAAATTGTCCCCAATAATCAAAGTTAATAATATAACATCCCAACTTAATTACAGCAACTTTAAAGTAAGTAAATAAATCTGGAAATTTATTTTAAGTATATTAAATAACCCCATAAGCATAATTACTTGAAATAATCATTATATAGCAAGTTAGTGTGTTAAAAACCCAAAAAATATACCAATTCAATGCAATTAGAGGCTTCAAAATAAAAGTATAAAATCTGAAAATTTATTCTTGAGATTAGAATTTTAAAGTTCAAAGCTTTTTTAATCATAAAATACCCACAATGATTATTTTATAAGACTAGAAGTATAAAAATATGAAATTAACACAACTTGTTCATAAAAATTGAAACTTTAATAAATCTGAAAATTTGTATATGATTAAAATAATTATACCTTAACGTAATTTAAATATAGTATGATTAGATAACCCAATTAACACGTTTTCAAGCCCTAAACACATGAAAAATCAATGTTTAAACCCTTATTTTCTTAATTAAACAAATCTAAAATTTTCTATAATAAATTAAACATGTCAAAACTCATAAATTCATAATCTTTTACAACCCAAGTATAATATCAAACCATAATAACAATCATTTAGAATAAAAATTAAACAAAGATTACAACTTTAAATCAATTTAAATAAAATAAAAAGAAGTAAAGAAAAGGGAAGAAGAAGGGGCAAACTGCAGGGGGCGCGGCTGGCCGACGGCCGGTGAGGGGCGGCGATGCAGGCGGCCGGTAAGGAGGTGGTTCGTGTGGCTGGTGCGGCGGCAGGAGCTTCGAGGGTTTTTTTTTTTGTTTGCTGTTCGTGAATGCAGGGAGAAGAAGGAGAGTGAAAGCTAATTATTATTATTTTTTTTTTTACGTGAGAAAGAGGAAAAGTGTGAGGGTTTTTGAGAGTTTTATTTGGGCTTTGGGTTTCCTAATTAGATTAGGAGTAAAATTTGAGGTTTTGGGCTATTAAGTTAAAAATTGTTTGTAAATTAGTCAAAAACATATTAGTTTACTTAAATCTTTTCATAAAAATAATTTATTCAATGAAATTGACATAAAAATAATTGTAAGAATAATATATAAATAAATTATAATTAAGTTGAAAATATGGGGGATTACATGCTGGGAGCAACTTTCATCATTTTCATATTGAGGTAAAACCTTCTTGGACTTGTGAAGTGAATTTTTGTGACGGGTGTAGCCATTGGCGGATCCACGTAGTGACCCGGGGGGGCACGTGCTACCCCCGAAAAAAAAAAAATTGTTTACAAAAAGACCTTCTGTAAAATAGCTTATAAAGATTAAAAATGCTAACTTGACAATATTATTGAAGTTTTTCTAGTATCCTTGGAGTCTTACGTTCGAATCTCCTCCCCCTAACCCACGATGTTTTTTTTTTTTCAGTTCATTTATATGACTTTTTTTTTTTTTTTTTTTTTTTTGAAAATCATCAATGCTTTATTATTATTTTTTTTATCTCCAAATTACTTTCTAACTCTCATAAAAAACTGGTTAAGAACAATTAATAGTATGGAATAAAATTTGTTCGTGAAGAAAATTAGTTATTTCTTATTAATTTGACTAATTTTATTTGATTGTAATACCAAATATTTTGATATATATTGTTCATAATTTTATCCGTAATCATAACTTGGTGCAAAATCTATAGTTATTTGAAAAATTGATGGTAACTTTTTCTACAAAATCCCATTACATTAAGCAAAAAACTTGGCGTGTTATTACTAGCTTAAATTTAGCTCTTTTTTTTTTAGTCTCAAGTTAGTAGGCTAGTAGTTGTATATTATTTTTCCCTATTATTTAGTGCTACCCCTACTTTGAAATCCTGGATCCGCCACTGGGTGTAGCTATATTGTGGAGTTGAGTATGATGATTTATACTCATTGTGATAGCTATATTCCTTTTTTTAATGTAAATTATTGTATGTTCAAACACTTTATGTATACAATGATTGAATGCCTTATATTGAATTTCCACGGATTATTTTAAGGCTTAACCAATTAGCAATAAAGACAACGATAGAAAATTTGAATGTAATTGTTAGAAATATAAGATATCAAAAATTTTGAATGTAATTAATGTTGGGGTATGTATATTTAGCAGATTTATTCGCTAACTCTAAATTTATAGAAAATTATAGTAAAATTGCACCTAACAAAGAGAAAATTATATGACAGTATATTACACTACATACATGACTAACATGACCAACTAATTTAATTCACTAAACTTCAATGCAATTACAAAATATAACATTTTTATTTCTTAGCCGATTATTACATATGTGTGCAAAATATTCACGAACACACATCATGCGTGGTTTTATACTTCCGTTACACCCTAATGCATAAGCAACCACACAAACGCTAAATGTTTACAATGTTCAAAAATTAATATAAACCAAGATCAAATAAACCAACTAATAACCAAGCTAAAATAATATTGAATAAATTTGACAATTTCATAATTAGATATGCTAAATAAGGGAATTGCATTGCACTTTACAAGCATGGTCATCAAAAATAGAGTGTGTAGATAATTTTCAAACACTATAAAAGAAAATACAATAGATCCATAAAACATAATAATTTGAGATAGTAACTTAACAATTATTTTAATTTATTTCCTAATATTTTATGCATATTCTCTAGTCTATTTAAATATCATCCATGGCTTCCTCCTCGTTGCTTCAATTGTGCTTGATCTTTGTAGTTTTCGGATCGGCAGTCGCTCAATTATCCGAGAATTACTATGCAAAATCATGCCCCCAAGTTAAAAGCATAATTGAAGATGAAATTAGGCAAACGTTAAAGAAAGAACCTGGCATGGGTGGATCTCTTCTTCATCTTCATTTCAGTGATTGTGGAATTGGTGTAAGTCTAATATCTTAGGACTAAGTGTTTAAAGTTTTTATACATACATATATAACATGTGCACAATTTAAATAATTTAGGGATCACAATAAAACAACAATTAATTGATTTTTTCCATGCAATATTAATTCATGTCAATATCCTCCTCATTACTCTTATTAGAGTTAGAATTCTAACCATAAATTAAAATAATATCTATTATACATTCGAATGTAATTATACGATCTTCCATGTTCTCTTCTCCGTGGACACATGAGAGGGAGGGTCAGTTTTGTCAAGTTTTGGGATATGTAAGTAATATTGTGAAATTTCAATCTGATATATGTAAGCTTTAATTAAATCCTTTTTTTTTTTTTTTTCCTTTTCATCATAGCTTCATATTAGTAAATAAATGGTAAATTTACTTCTTAAAAATTTGTTTTATTTTGGAAGAAAACAGGAGCCAATCAAGTTTATCCATCATTACATAGGTAGAGATAGGGATGGGGGTGGGGGTGAGGGTGGGGGTGGCTATGAATTTCCCATATAATTTACTTTTTAATTTAGGAAAAAATATATATATAGATTTTTGTAATCATTAGCTTAAAAAAAACAATTGTAGCTTAATTTTTTTATTTAATACATAATTAGGGATGTGATGGATCAATATTACTCGACGATACACCAAATAAATCCGGGGAGAAGTCTTCTTTTATAAATGCAAATTCAACTTGGGGATACGAAGTCATTGATAGGATCAAAGCTCGACTAGAAAAAACATGCCCTGGTGTTGTATCATGTGCTGATATATTAGCATCAGCTGCTCGAGACTCTGTTGTTACGGTATGATTATCGTAATTATTTTCATGTTCCACCTTAATCATTATTTTGTTTGTTAATTATTGATAAATTTTATTAAGTTACTATGTTAAATTTTTCCTTTAATTCATTTCTTTTTTATTGATCATGAATTTCTAGCTTGGTGGACCAGCGTGGCCATTACCATTAGGAAGAAGAGATTCAACTGAACCACATAAGATGTTGACTGATGCCTTAGGTTTTCTTTTTAATGCGAAATTACCAGCTCTAATTATGGCCTTTAAACAAAAAGGCTATACAACAGAAGAATTTGTGGCTTTGATAGGTAATTTCCCTTCTATTATTCACTAAGGAGGCAATTTCTTTTTCCTTTTTGTTTTATTTTATTTTTATTTTTATTTTTATTTTTTTTATTTTTTTTTTTAGAACAGGAGGCAATTTCTTTAATAATAAACCTAATTATTTTTATGTGATAAGTTATTTGTTTATCTAGTACTAGTATTTAGTCCATCCAATAATATAGTAATGGATTCATTTTACTATATTACCTTTAAGGAAAATTTGTAAGGAAGGTCCTTTTAAGTAGACCTTTTTGTGACAAAGGTCCTTTTATAAAAAAGGTGACACAAAAGGTCCTTATATCATGTTTAGGTTGTGAGGAGGGTCCTTTGACCATTTTCCGACGTTGACTTTTTATTTCCCGGCCAAAAAAAGTCACATCTAAGTTTCCTTTTTTAACCCTCCTCTTTTCCCTCGTTTTCCCCTTTTTTCCCTTATCAAACCCTAATTTCTGAAAACAATTAACACCGAAACTTCAATTGTAATTCCATAAATTAAAAGTAAAGGCTATTCAAAGTAATTCAAGACTAATCCTCCCCACAATGAGAGAAAATAGGGAAAAAAAGGAACTTAATAAGTCACTTGCTTTACACGTTGCTTTTTTTGACCTGAAAATAAAAAAGTCAGTGCCGGAAAATGATCAAAGGACCCTACTCACAACCCAAATATGATATAAGGACCTTTTATGCCACCTTTTTTATAAAAGGGCCTTTGTCGCAAAAAGGTCTACTTAAAAGGACCTTTCTCACAAATTTTCCTACCTTTAATTACCTTATTTTAATATAATAATTACCATACATACAAAGCTTATACTTCGTCTCTTGAAAAATAATAAGTGATCCTATATTATGAGATAGAGAGAGTACACGTTATAATTTTGTAGACACAATGAGAGATACTGACCTAAAATAATATGAAAAGTCACAAATTGTAAATTTTGACTAATGTTGTTTCTTGAGTACAGGTTCTCACACAATTGGTAGGGCAAGATGCTTAACCTTCCGAAAGCATATCTATGACGATAAGAACATAGATCCTGCCTTTGCGAAGGCGATGCAAGCACATTGCCCCAAGGTTGGAAACAATAGCGAACGTATACCAATCGACTCCACCACACCATACGTGTTTGACAATGCATACTTCAAAAACTTGTTGAAACAAAAAGGTCTTCTTGGCATTGATCAAGAACTATACACTGGAAAGGGAGGAATCACAGATGCCATTGTCGCGAATTATAGTTCAAATCAGGATAATTTTTTCAAGCAATATGTTACGGCAATAACAAAGTTTGGACAAACTGGTGTTCTTACCGGCACTAAAGGAGAGATTAGAACTAATTGCAGGAAGGTTAATGCTCCAAAATTTTGAAACTTGCTATAGATTAACGTGTGTATTGTATGGAATAAATATAAAAAAAGAACTAACTATAGGATGGTTAATTGTATGTTTGTAATTCCAATCATAGAAAAAGGTGTGCACAAGTTACTATCTCTAATAAATACTTGATTCCAATATGATAAACAGTTGCTATATTTAATTTACTATACGTTTAAAAGACATTATCTTTCTTGAACCCGAGATTTACCACTCTATCTTTTGAGAGAGAGAGAGAGAAGGGAAAAAAAAACCCCTATGACTCTAAGCCACTAACACCAACTAGTCACTTAGGAGAGTAAATTCCTAGACATTAGGAGTAAACTAATCACTAATAATAATTTTAAGCAAATATTCCAACAATATCCACATATTCAAAAAGTAAATTCTAGTTACTTTCTGGCACGTAGAGCGGTGTAGATAAATTTATATTGCTAGATTTTTAAACAATTTATGAATGGCTCGTTTAATAATCAAGTTAATCAGCGAGCTTTTTTCATCAACTAATTTAAATATATATGAGCTTCTTTAATGAATGACTTTTAATTTATATTTTTGTCATTTAAAAATCTCAAATTCCCCATCATAAAAAACCTTAATTAAAAAATTTAGACTTAAATTAAAAATTGTGAGTCAGTCACTAATAATTTATAAAAAGATAAAATGATCAATTTATATCAAAGTTGTATCTTACATGATCACATCACATTGTATTTGAGATATCAACTCTTAGGGCTTGTTCTGATTTACTAAACTGAACTGAACTCAACTGAATTGATTGGAGTTGAACTGAATATTTCATGAGAGAAGGAAATTAGGAACTGAACTGAACTAAAAATAAGCTGAAAATAACATGCCTTTATTCCTTTTTGTTTGTGATTTTAACTTCCTTGATTTCTTTTCCTCTTATAATCTAGAGATAAATACATGTATATTATGAGTAATAAATGAGTTGTTGACAGGCGGTCGAACACCTAACAAAAATAATAATAACCTAACTATTCCTCCTAATTATGTAGTAGGGTAAGTCGGGGTTGAAACCATAGAGAGAAGGTTATTTAACAATCAACTTTTACCTATTTTTTAAAGATTATACTTTATCCGGTTTTTCAATGCTTGTAACACTTCTCTAAATGAAAATGTCACAACACTTGCTATAATATAATTAGATTTTTTTTGGGGAGGGGGGGGAATGTTGTAATATTTTCTTTATTTAAAGCACATGACCTACTAAATTATTCTTCTAACATTGTCTTCACAAAAGAAAAATAATAAAAAAATTATTCTTCTAACATTGTCTTCACAAAAGAATAATTTTTTTATTATTTTTCTAACAACCGCTGGTTCGATTTTAAAGTATATATATATATATATATATATATATATATATATATATATATATATATATATATATATATTAGTTGCTATAAGAGATCAAAATAATTCCTTTATTACATTATGTGAAAATGTGAAATTAAACAAAGTCATGCGTACGTGTGTATGATGAAGACCACAAGTATAAAGAACTTGAAGTAAGCATGCAACTAATAAAGGATGATATCACATAAATGACTAGTTCTAATTGCTGAAAAGTCTGCTAATCAAACTAAAAAGATTTCAATTGTTAAATAACAAGTAGACATTGGTTAACTTTTGTTACTTGGGTGGCAAGTTAACTATACGTAATACTGTAATTTTTTCTCATTTCACAAGTTGAGGTTACTTATTTGTGTGGGAAACTCGAAGTTGACACGTAGTTAATAATTAATGTAGTTGCAACAAGGTTTTGTCTTAAGTTTATGTCTTCTCTTCTAAATTTTAACTATATTTATCTGGTTTGATTTGATCTAGTAAGTTATCAATAATAGTTTAAAAATTGAAGCTTAAGTCTTAACGTACTGCGCTTGATTCTACGTTTAATGTCCAAATATTAACAACTTATTCTGTTCTACTTATTCCATAAACTTAATACTTTTAGTATCAAATTAGTAGAAGGATTCAAATAAGACTAATGAATAGTTAAATATCAAATACAAATCATTGGATATTAAACTTAACGCCCTATCTCAAGCCGTTATTTATCCATCTTTCATCTGCCACTTATACCTTCCCTAATTCATATCTGTTGAAAACTTGAAGTATAAGCTTTCCAAAAGATAGATGTAAGTGTCCCACGCATAATGAAAAAAGAAAAGATAGTTAATCACTTTATAAGGCAAAGAGGGTACTCCAATCGCCATATAAATTTAGATTGGAACGCCCTTGGACTAGTAAAGTACGGAGTAGACTCTTCGTCTCTTGGTTGTGGGAAAGGCCCAGCAGACCCGTGGAAACGAGTAGAATATAAAAGAACAAAGGTATGGTAGTGTATGTATTTCAATAACTACAAAAACAAAAATCAATATTATTACACCTTAACCCATCAAAAGTTTGTTATCATCCATCAACGATAATTTTAATAAACTTTTAATTTCACTCATTTATTTTCATAAACTAATCAGCAAATTAATTTTTTGCATAAAAACTTCTTTATTATTTTCGTACACAATTTAAATATATTAAATAATATTATTTTTATCACACTTGTTGACGATAAAATAATAGTGAGTCCTTAACGTAGAGCCCTACAGTTACTTTTGATTGTTCCGCTATTGCCCGTTTGAACACCAAGCCTACTCATCTTCAACATTGCAGCTGCGAAATCATTGAAGAAAGCTCCCTCATTACTCGCATAGAGTCGAACCGCACGATCAGTTTGGCCTCCGCGACCGGTGAATAGTACTTGGTCTGAGTGAAGTAGACCTTCAAAATTGGTTAAACCCACAAAGTATTCATTGTTAAAGGCGTTCGGACTACGAACATCCAATGGACCAAGGTTGTTGTCACCACCATTTCGGGGGCATATACTTTGCAAGAATTGTGCGTAAGCGGGAAGAATGTTTCGTTCGTTGTAGGCTCGATCACGGAACCTTAGGCACCTAGCTTGCCCTAATGTGTGAGCACCTAAACATAAACATAATTTGTGTTAGCCAACTATACATAGATTAAGGCCCCGTTTGGTTTAATGTAAAACATTTTCAATGGAAAATTAGTTTTCATAGAAAACAAATTTTCAAGGAAAAACACAATTGCAAATTAGTTTTCCTTTGTTTGGTTGCATACAAGAAAAGTCCAAGAAAAATAAAAAATGAGAGTGGAAATGTAAGGATGAATGAGAGGGAAGTAAAAAAAGAGGTAAGGAGGAGAGAGGAAAATGTGGCTTCCCTTGTTTTTGGAAGGAAAATGTTTTCCATCATTAAGGATGGAATTTTCCACCCTTGAAAAATTGTTTTCCACTCCTTAACAAACCAAACAAAGGAAAATGGAAAAAAATAGAAAATTCATTTTCCATGAAAACCTTTTACATCAATCCAACCAGGGCCTAATTTGAAAGTAATTAACGTAAAGTCTTATAATAGGATTGCATTCCACTATTATATACTCTCTTTGTCCCATAATATATACATGACACGGTTAAACATTGCACACATGTCAATTTACTTAGCTAATTTGAATTTTTTTTTAATAATTAAATATTAATGAAAATTATTTTTAAAATTATATTATGAAACTTTATATTAAAACCTATCTAACAGCATATTTTGTTATAAAAAATATTTTTATTATGTTAATAAAAAATTATGGTCAAACCTAGTGCATGAATAGTGAATAAACTAAAAAAGGTCCAACGGAGGGAATATTATACTTTAAAATGTTAAACATAATCCTAAGGGTTATATTTAAGAAACTAAAAAAGGAAATTTTGAGTATATATTAACATTTATCACATCAATATACTCGTGATTTTGTCATGAATTCCTTAATTTAGTTCTATTTATATTTAATTCTTATATATAAAGGAATACATATATTATCACCATTTTTTAATGCAACATATTGACTTTTATACTATTCACATACTCTACTTTTACTAGTTTTGATCACAACGAGAAAATAGATATAAAAGCTAGATACGTCTCAATTTATACTTATTTAATTTTATAATTTTTACAGATTAATAATAAAATATACAGAGTATTAATGATTAAAATAACGCACTACTAGCATGAAATTAAATAATCTGAGAATTGTTACATTCAGAAGACAACTTAGGAAGTGTTACATAGTTTCCAATTTTTGTTTATATGAAACAAAATGTTGCGATATATTATCATATATAGGATAAGAACTACTAATATTAATTATATTATAACCACGCATTCATAATGGAAGACTATTTCTAAGAGTAGACCGTTGATGATTATAATAATTTTCTGTTTAGAATCAAGTTTTAGAGTTGAAATTTGACCTAATTCAAGAAATCGGACCGTTGAATATTATTTTTTAATTTCATATAATGTTGTTACGTATTAGCTAGTTTAATCTAACTATCTATCTTCACCAAAAAAAATTAAATTATCATTAGAGAATTGACAGGGTTAAAGAATAAAAACCTGAAAGAGCAACGATTTCTCGGACAGAAAAACCTTTGCGAGAGAACAAGGAGACGAGGTTACGGACGTTATCAGAACCGAAGGGAAGATTAGTATCAGCTGCACCAGCACTTGGTGTTGAAGTTGAGTCTCTTCTTCCAAATTCAAGATTCCAGCTTGGACCTCCAAGCTATAAATTCCAACAATCAATTACTATATTAGTTAACATAATTAGTTGGATCATATTATTAATTTCAATTATGTATCATTTATATTATGTTACATACATTGTTTCTCATATTATATCTTTAGCAATTTTAGGTATAAAAAAATATAATAGTCCTTTTATTTAATTTTATTTATTTTTTATTTTTTATTTTTTTGTCAATTTTATTGAGCGTGTTTAATTAGTAGCTCACCGCAACAACAGACTCTTTAGCAGCAAGTGCCACAATATCTGAGCAAGATACTACACCGGGACAAGTAGCCTCAACTCGTTGTTTGATGGAGTCTATCACATCAAATCCTTGCAGAGAGCCAACGTTGTGAACGGATTGTTTTTCACCACCTTGAATATCCACTAATATTGATGCATCACATCCCTGTATTTAAACATAAGTGACAACATGTTACAATTTCTTTTCATAACGAGTATTCACATTATTGGAAGTATTAGTGCTAACATGAATTTAAATGATTGTACAATGTGTATAATCTAGCTAGGTACTTACACCAACAAAGCAATCATGGAAATGAAGGCGAAGCAACAAAGCACCCATTCTTTGATCATTGGCAATAGCATCTCTAATGACCGATTGAACGATAGTGTTAAAATTAGGGCATCTTGAATCGTAAAAGTTTGTAGACAACCCGCTTTGAGCATGAGTTGTGGTGGTGAAGGACAAGACGAGAAGCAAGAACATGCAAAGACTAGCAAATGGAGCCATGTAGTTTAAAATAGCCTTAACTTGAATGAAATTACAAGTAATTAGCATTTGCTAGCTAGGAAAGCTTGTAACAATAAAGGTACTTTGAACTCAAATTTATATGATTTTTGTTGAACTCATAAAACTATGATTATATTATTGCAAATTGAAAACTGTAGAAGAGGTCCATGAATTATAATTTTCTTCAATTGTTACCATGTCCACGAAAAAAACCGACAACACTTATCGTATAAATTTTTAATTCATATTTATATAATCCATCAAATTGTAGGTTAGAAATCAATATCAAGAAATATGTAATATAATGATTCTTAGGAAGTTAATGAGCTGTATTAATGCAATTGATTGAGAATAATTCTTGCCGAATTGGTCAATCACATCACCGTGTTGATATATAATTGTCGTCTCTTTATAAAATATAGTAATGATAATTATCTTTACTATATTTATAATCGAATTCTTCATCAACTCTAAACTTAGCTTTCAATGAGATGAAAATCAAAGGAAAAAAAAAAAAGTCATGAAAAAAAGAAAGAGTATAAATGGAGTTATTTTTGTCATTGTATAAGCATAAATAATAAGTGGACAATAATATGTTGTATGAAATATGAATACACCATTTTGTTGCTAGGTCCAAATGAGTCATAAGGCGTTACAAATGGAAGAGGGAGATTTTCTAAGACTTTGTTTTGTTCACATAAGTGGTTTAATTTATTTAAATTGACAATTTGTTTTAATTAAAAGAGTCAAATTTGATTATAATAGTAAAGAAAGATTTAATCAGTAATATAAACTAGATTTGAATTTTTATTTTTTATTTTTTTTTTGGTGAATAAATTAGATTTAATTAGTATACATATAAAAGCATATGAAGTATGGATTATATGTTAAACGAGTCAATTGCCAATGGGCTTATATATGTCGTACGAATTAGCAAGGACATTTTGTACATGTATTATACAACAAGTCAACAACTACATTTGTTCTATCCTATTTTTGTTCAACAAAACCATACTAAACGTGGACGTTGAAAAAATAATAAACTAAAAAAGAAGTATGGGCTGAAAATTTGTCCTTTGATATACTCTTAACATTTATTATATAGATTTTTTTTAAAAAAAATGAAAAGAAGTTAGCTAGCCATCCCTAAACTCTGCACCAAATTGCTGATGATTAGACGTCATTAGGTAAGGGATCAATTTAGACGTTGTTAATAAGAAGTAAGCAAATAAAAATATTCAGCAAAACTTAGTAAGCTAGAAAATGTCGAGTAATTTCAGCAAATTTGAAAGAAAAAATTATTTAAAATAAGCAAGTACCAATGACAAATTGATACTGCAAGCTGTCTCATTTCTATTCTCGTGATTGTAGATTTTCGTTGACAATAATTTAGCTCGTGATTGAAAGCGAGGGATAGCTTAAGTGGTTAGAATTTTCCTTCTGTATTTAGAAAATGCTGCAATAGATTTTCACCACTTGTCTTTGTGGCTCTCTAAACATCTAAAAAAAAATTAATAGCTCGTGATTGTAGATGACTAAACAAACTAAACATTCCACTTCATTAGCCTAATCTACTTTGAGATATTCTTATATTTGAAGCATGATTTTTAAGTTATATTTATATTTCATGTCTCATTTTATCAAAAAAGTCAAATTTAGTTTACGGTATTTTTAGACAGTTTAAAACTTTATTTTATTAATTACTCCGTAAAATATAGGAATTGATGAAAACAATAATTTGTGGCAAAAGACGGAACTTGCTAAAATTGTACATTTGGCTTCATATTATGTCAATCTCCAAGTCTCCTACATGATCGAACTAAAGGTTTTTTGGTAAATCCCAAACCAGGTATATAAGAAATGTACTATGTTTTTAATTTAGCCTTACTTATTGTATGTGGGCTGCTATTAATGTAGTTAGCCTTTTATGTCTAATACTCTAAGCCCATTCTTGTAATTAGGTTTGACCCAATGAAATAGAAGGCAATAGAGTACATAATGTGTATATACTTCTTTACATGGTATTAGAGTCCAAGTTGAGTTGAGTTGTGATTTGTACTTAATTGCTTACTTGGTATATTATAGACAGTTCGCATGTGACTTCTTGACTGCGGTGTTAACCCCCGTAAACAAGTCTATATGAGAGTAGAAGTGTTGTCACACATTAAACAAACATTAAATCATAGTAACATTGCACCTAACAAAAAGCAAATTATATGATACAAATCATACAATACATACACGACCAACTAATTCAATAAACTTCGATACAACTGCAAAATATAACAATCTTATTTCTTCGTCAATTATTACAAATGTGTGCAAATATTCACCGATACACATCATGCGTGGTTTTATACTTTCGTTACACCCTAATGCATAAGCAACCACACAAACGCTAAATGTTTACAATGTTCAAATATTGAAATAAATCAAGATCAAATAAACGAACTAACCAAGCTAAAATACGGAGTATTGAATAAAAATTCCATAAAATCACCACTAAATTCCTTCTCTTCGGCTCCAATATCTATAACCTTCAAAAGATTTTCACCCGCACTAAAAACCATTTCAACCAAAAAACCAACATTTTGATTTCTTTTACTAATTTCTTGAAATAAACTTGTATCCAAGAACTCATTACAAACACCTTTTTTCATACTAATTTCACATTTTTTAATCTCATAAAGTGCTAATGTTTTAATATTAGTAAAAAATTTACTAACATTGGCTAAACTATAAATATACCTAAGATTAATTACCTTATTCCTTGCATCTTCAACTCCCATCTTAATTTCAAAATAATTCCTCTCACAAATTGTAACAATTTCCCAATTAATGCTCTCTTCTTTTATAATATTTATCGGCATGATCTTCTTCTTCACATTTTGTATGTAGTCCACATTTTCGTACAATGCTTCTAACAATTGATCTATGGCTACCCATGTCAATTGTTCGGGGTTGGTTTCGGGTTTGGGTATGTTATGTATGAAAATGGACTTGCAAGTGTCTGGATTTTGGGTTATGTTACATATGTTTTGGATAAAATTTTGTGTATCCGGGTCAATTTCATGATCAATGTTGCAAAATAATGGGGGAAGAAAAACTAGTAGAATTAATATAATTAATTTGTGATTAGAGTAGAAGAATGCCATTTTTTTTTTTTGGTCTACAAATGAAAGTTACTACTACTAAATTAATATAAGATACATATTTAAAGAATGATCATGATAATAGAGGCATTTAGGGAAATAGTCATGATTTTGTAACATTTTTAGAAAAAAATAATGTAGTTATTTATGAAGTAATGACCTAAAATAGAATCATAAGTAGTAATACACGGATACTAGTAATGGAATGGGAAAATGAGATATTTATTCATTAAGCGAAGACTAAATGGTATGAATGAGCGGATTTGTTACTCTCATGATTGACTTTATAATTAATTTTCTTATGTGTAAACCACATAAAACCGTGCACTCATAATAGAAATGAGAATGTGAAAGCGTACCAAAACCATTTCCAAAGATAATCTTGACATGTTAATATGTCTCTATCAAGAAAGTGGGGAATAGCTCCAATGGTTAAATCTTCCTACCTGATACCGAGAGATCATGGGATTGATTCTCATTACTCACTTTTATGGTTCTCTAAACACCAAAATATATCTCCATCACTCCATGTCTCCATCTTTGCTTTGAAACTACCTAGTTAGTGAGCAACTAAACCTAAAATGCAATATCTAATGGCAAACGTAATTGATGTAGATGTCTTATATATAGGGATTTATGCTACCAAAAAAAACAAGCTAAATAATTTCATTAATGTATATAGTAACACAATTAATACCTTATCGAATGTGTAAACACCACGCTTCAAATCTCAATTTCATTAAATTAAAAAAAAAAATTAAGAATTTGAGCATCAAAAAAAAAAATTAAGAATTTTTTTAAACAAACCTAACAATCTTTGGGCCGTCAGCCCATCACCTATTGCAATTTATTAGAACACAAGCTAGATAACAAATATGTGCTGTTGTATGTGGGCTTACTTGTACAGACAGTAGTACATAAAACTCTACCTAAATAATCCAACTTTATCCACCTAAAGGGTTCAATACTTACATCTTGCTGTTTGATGGGATCTTTTGTGAGCATTGTTCTTAGGGCTGGTAGTCCTGACCCGACCCAAAAATTAGATCCAAACCCAATTTGAAGTTACTGAAAAAAAATCTAAACTAGACTAACCAAACCCGAACTGTCCAATAAGACCCAAACATCATATATTTTTCAATAATATTAAGTTTTACACTATTTATAGTTTTTTTTAGCACAACGAATCATATAGTGGCATAACCAGAAATTTTACATTAAAGGGCCAAGATTAGGGGTGTCCATAATTTGGATTAAAACCGAAATCCAATCCAATCCACACCGAATTATCAAATCAGATCGGATCCGAATTTTAAATTGGATGACATATCGGATTGGATTGAGATTTTTAAAATAATGTATCCCCTTCGTGTTTTATTATGTGTTATTACAGTTTGACCAAACACACATGTCGAGACACAACTTTGACCATTAATTTATCTAATCATATGTTAATAAAATTATTGAAAGATTCATGTTATGAAAGTATACATTATAACGAATCCAACAATGTATTATATAATATCATTTTTTTATATACTAGTATTAGTGAATTAATCAAGTCAAAACTATTATGTGAATTGTGAAAAATGTAACACTCATCATGTTGAAGTTTAAAGTTTTGATGATGATAGACTTAAACTCAAGCAAACTTATCTCAATCTAAAGGTTTCTTTAAGTGTTTTACTAAGAACAGGTAAAGTAGACCTTGGTGGTGGAAGAGTAGCCTTATCTAAATAAGAAGAACGTGAAAAAGAAGAAGAAGTCTTTAAGAAGGTTAATCAAGATAAAAGAAGAGATACCTAACAGGAACTTACTTCTCTGACAAGAACTATTTCAGTTCCTTAACAGGAACTTGAAGACAGTAGTAACTTGGTCCTGGTCTGCGTGAAGCCCAAGAAATCCTCGAGTACAGAATAAATCGGCACAACAACTTATTTAGTTAAGATTTTATCTTCTACATTGGTTGTTAAATATGTTAAGTAGGGTTTGCACGAAACCTATTAGA